GGCGGCTGCCAAATCCGCGTTTGCAGCTGCTGCTGCCCAATCTGTGTCTGCGTCTGCCCAATCTGTGTCTGCGTCTGCGTCTGCGTCTGCGTCTGCGTCTGCGTCTGAAAAGCATCGAGCCACTGGGGGAAGAGCTTGGCCACCAAGTCCATGTCGACGGTGTTGTCGTCATGAATGCTCGGTCGTTTCCTCCCCTCGGCTGCCTTTTCTTGCCTAATGAAAAACTTCTGAGCGTGGCTCGCTACCTGCGCAGCCGTTTTCGTCACCACTACGTTCCTTGAAATGCTCCTCCAATCTCCTTTCCCGTATCGCTCTAGCCCGATCAAGAACAATCTTTCATCAACATTACAAAGACAATGATCAACCCATCACTAAAGTATCTCTTCTTGATAAAAAAGCATAAGACAAGAAGACATACTTGTGTTCGTACGCACTCCAAACTTCCCAATCATTCTTCTTCCGCTTGGCCGGCGGCGCCGTTGCCGCCACCTGCGAGCCCGAACTCTCCGCGCGGTCGTGATCGTAGTAGTTCGGCGTGCTGACTCGGCCGGAACCGATCTCCGAAATATCGCGAACCAAGGCCCGGTAATGCTCATACACATCCGAGAGCGGTCTCTGCAGTATGTCAGCGATCCTCTGCAACCGATCCCACAACGATCCGGAGAAAGTCGCTAAAGCATCCTCGAGCACCATGTCCTCCGCCCTCGTCCAGGGATTCGCCGCCATAGCCACCAAATAAAAAAACCCTAGAAATCTGTGGACCTCAGTAAACTTATAGGATTTTTATGTTTATCATTATTTTTTTTTTTTATATTTTCGCCCACCTGACAATCCCTGATTTTGCTCCGTTTCTGTTGCAGTCATTATCCAAATATTTATATACTTTCTCTCTCTCCCTCGATCGCGCACACAATAATGATAATAAGCCTAATTATATAACCCACAATTTTTATTTACAAATTAAGCTACGATTTCCAATAAAAATTTGGGATTGGGAATAATGTGTATGTTTATTTTTGCTAATTTACTTAAAAACAAAAAACAAGTAATATATAATTATATTTGAATATTTAAAAAGTTACTTTTATTGTAATTTTTAAATTAATAATTAAAATCTAATTCAAATAATTATTAGCATCACTGAAAAAAAAAATTGAATTATTTTAGAAATTGAGCTTTAGTAAAATTTAGTTTTTCAAGTCAAAGCCGGTTTAGAAGAGTAAATGTCCAACACGTTTATATTTGCTATTTTTTCTAAACTCTATAAAAAAGTGTGTTAAACATTTTAATTTTATTCTGAATTATAATATAATGCAAAATTTTAAATAAAACCATAAAATTTCAATCTTCAAGCGACTATCTTATAAATGTTATAATGTAAATGAATTTTCTTATTTCGTTTGATTTCAATATCATTAAAAGAAAACATTACTTTGTAAAATAATTTCAAATTTTTCAGGAATTTGATTTTATAAAAACTCAAATAATAAACTGGATCTGCAAAAACCTTAGTTGTACTATAATGTTTCCGTGCTATAATTTTTTTATAAATAGAAATAATGAATTATAATACTCTTTTATAAATAGAAGGATTTTCAATAATATTCTTGGACCTTTATCTATTAAAGAAATAATTTAATATTAAAACCTATAAACACACAAGTTACATGGGCCACATTATTTATTTTTTGTACAGCATATCATAAATTACTTTTAACATTTCATATAATAAGTTTAAGTTTAATTATTTTTTTAATGATGAAGTTTGAGGATCAAACTATTATTAAATAAAAAAAACATCTAAACTTTGTTCCTCATATTTTGACGTTTTATAAATTTTCCTTTATCTACAGCCGTTTAAAATCAATGTACGTACTTAAATATCTATGGTACAATTTTTATTTTTATAATTTTACATTTTAAAAAATGAATTTTATTTCAAAACATATACATTAAAAAAAATTAATTTTGTTAAGACTCGACTGATAAAATGGAATCTAAAAAAGATATTTTTTTAATATACCTCAAATATTTCGCTAAAAGAATAGCAAGGGAAATAACTCGGTCGACCAAAGACTTTGAAAGATACCCCACGCGCCTTAGCTCCCGGAAGAACTTTATTTTGGATGAATCCAGCGAAAATCGCTGGACTATTATAACCCGGCGATATATGCTCCACGCGCACAACGCGCGCAAGCTGCGCGTGGGTATCGATTACAATACTGACTACGTGTTTTTTAGGTATAAAACGGGCCCAACGGATTTACTAACTTTAAATGGTCTTGTTAATTCCAACTCATTATTAACAAATGGACTGAATAGTCTCAGCCCATCATGAATAAAATACTCGTGAAATGGTACATCATACATGTATTTACATATTTTAATTTATTATAATATATCGATTTCTTTATTAGAAATTATGTTAGATTATGATTTTTATTATGTATACAATCTATAAATAGTTTATTTTTTTGCATTTCTAGAATATTCAGAGTTGTTTTTAGTTTATTAATAAAACTGTTAAAAAGGGTTTTTTTCTTCATTTTTTATTATTGTGGAAAACAATGGATCCAAAGTCCAAACAATCAAAATATTCCGAGTATTTTTTATTATCTATACAATCTATAATGGCACGTCTCCCAAACCGGTTCTAATTTTCCAAACTCTAACCAGAAGATTATTACCGAAACGGGTAATAATAAGCTTAAAAGATTTTACCGCATAACCATGACTCCCTTCATTTCCTTCTGCTTCAAAAATTAAGATTCACCCAACACAGGAGAGAACCTGATGATTTATTCACCTGTGACCGCAGCCAATTTCCTCAAAGAACCTCCCGCCTCTTTTACGACCACTTGCCACGCCCATTGGGGAAAAGGTTAGTGGATTGAGTTGGCATTTTCATGCATGCGTCCAGCCAAAACGATGAAAACACTTACAAGATTATGTCGGTGGGCAAGGACAAGGTGAAGAGAGCTTAAGCTTTGAGGATGATTCCATCCAACTTGTTACCTCGTGAAAAAACACAATGCAACGGCTTTTCAAGCCTTATCACTTCCCTCTAAGTTTAACACTCTGTCTCTTCTCGTTGAGAGCAAATCGACGAGCCATACCAGGATTGTAGAAATTTCTCATGTGTTCAGAAAGCCTGTGAATAGCCCTGAGGTTGCCAGCCGCCGAGAGTCTCGTTAGGAAAGAGTCAAACATCCGATATGGCAGGTTTAGTCTCCTGTTCACAACTTCTTCCAATAGAAAGCACGCCTCGTCAGCTCTGTTGCACCCGAAAAGCCCATTGATCATAACACAGAATGTTTCGGTGTCCTGACGGCAATTTCTCTTGTCCATTTCATGCCATGTATCGAATGCCCTGTCGGGATCATCCATTTCAAAAAACATAGAAATCAGCATGTTGTAAGTTTGGACACTAGGGATGCAACCCACCTCGATCATTGTTCCATAAAGCTTAAGGGCGTCATCGCTTTTCTTATTCTCACAGAGGACTCTAAGAAAGCAATTGTAAGTGACTATGTCTGGTGGGTAGCCTTTGTTTCTCATCTCATGCAAGAACTTGTAGGCTTCCTCTGTCTTTCCAGACATACATATACCTTCAATCACTTCCTTGTATGTTGACACATCGGGAAGGCAACCTATGCTTATCATACGACCTATAAGTTCAAAGCATTCTTCCATTCTATCGTACCTCGCTAATGCCGCAATCATTACGGCAAAGGTCTTTGCTGTAGGTGCAGACACCGTCGAGCCTTTGGTTATCATGAAGTCAAACAATTCAACAGCTTCATTCACCTTTCCAACTTTACAAAAAGCATCTATGGCAGCATTGTATGTAAAATTATCTGGCTTACAACCTGCTTGGATCATTTCTTCGAGTAATGCCATCCCCTTTTTAGGATCTCTAACTCTACACCAACCGAAAAACAAAACATTGTATGTATTTGCATCGGGTTTAATTTGCCTTTTCATCCTTTTAAACAATGCCTCGGCATCCTTCACCAGACCAGACTTGCACAGAGCATCAAGAAGCACGTTAAAAGAGTTTATCTCAGGCTGTGTCTTGACTCTTATCCGTTTCTTGGCAGAAAATTTCTGAACATGGGTCAGATACTTCTCGCAGTACTTTCTAAGAATCTCCTGTAAAACGTCAGCAGGAACAGCAGTTTTCTTGTTCCTCTTCATGTAATCAAGCATTTCAATTACAATCCTAAACTGTTTGTTCTTGTACTTGGTGCTGGATAGTATATCAATCATCTCATTGTATGCACAAGGCTCATGGGAGTAATTCTCTTGGTGTCCTGCCCAGGTGAAGAATCGAAAAGCCACTTTTTCCTCGTAATGAAACCTCTGCAAGATCTGGAGTACCAATGGGGTTGTCAACTCAACCCTGATATCATCTAGGGCTTTTTCCATATCATCATACGCATTCAAATTAGCCATAATAGTTTCGCATACGATTTCAACCATATGATCACAACCATTTCTACTTATTTCAGTTTCCTCGAGACCGCCCAATGTCCTACCTTCTGTTACCCTCGTTGTCAAACCAAATTCCTTGGAATTCGCAGCTACATCTTCTAAACATCTATCCCCAACATTATTAACGCAAGAATCAATTGCTCCGTCTATGGAAAAAGTCGGAGAACAGAACAAATACCTCCGAAACGTATCCGGATAACAAATTTCGCCAGTTCCGTAGGCAATGAGATGAGAATTCAGCAGACGAACCACGAATTCAGACCGCTCCGGTGAAGTTGTCGAGAAATTCAGGGAAATTGAGGAGCGAACAAAACAGGAGACAAGCCGTCTCATCGTCGCAGCCAGGATAAAGCGAAACCCTATTTGAAAGCTAGTCAGATCACTTTAATCCCACTCGAATACCTTGTGCCCTAAAACATCGGCGACCGACAACTGAAAAACATAACCAACCAAATCAGACCAAAAATCCATATGGATAAAGCTCGAACGAAATGGGAATGAAACAAGATTACAGACTGAGAGACCGATTCAAAATTGAAACATCAGAAACCGATTGTAGACCAACCCAAACCCTAGCAAGTGAGAAACCGATCAATCAACAAACATAAACCGAATCGTAGTCTAGGCCACACGTTTCTCACAGATTCACAGGCGAATCCAACACAAATAAATAGAAATTCCAAAAAACCGAAGCGAAGCAGGGACGAGTTTGATCGAAACACAGACAAGCGATGAACGTAGAAACGAGCTCACCTGAATTGAACTGGAAGTAGATACACTGGGAGAGACGAGAGGCCGTGGCGAGGGACTTCGGCGGTGAGAGGCGGGTTTCAAGATTTAGGAATCTCTTGCATTAATTTACAGAAAGAGAACTATATTTATGATTCCGTCCTTTATGTTTACTTTATCTTCCATTAAAGGACAATTCTTTTTTGCTAATTTATGAATAAACCCCTATTTCCGGAGAGCACACCGTTTTCAAAGCGGAAATTAAAACTCCATGCCGTTTCTTCGAGATCCCTTTCTGCTTAAAAACATCAAGCAGTTGGTCTGGGGAACTTCTTCGGTTAACACAAAGAAAATGTTTGATATCAATACATTGAACGAGACAATCTAAACAGATGGTTATGTTTATTAATAATTATTATTTTTTATCTAAAATCAATAGAGTGTAGTATAATAATTAGAGCCATAAAAAATGGTTTTAAAATTTGAATTAAAATTAAAGGATTATGATGATGGTGCTTAGAATAAGGAGCCAGAGAAAAGGGACAGCTGCACACGAGGAAAATTGTAGCTCTGCCACAAAACATGGGTTCTCTGTAAGCTTTAGACAGAGCAATGTCGTTGGGACAAGAGATGCAATGTACCAAAAATACATTAAAACATGTGTATAACCGGTTCCACTCTTACACATCTTCAAATACTATCCAATACTCCAATTTACTCTTTGGGGGCATGAAAACAAAAGGGATGGGTCCGGTTTAACATTTCGGTTAAGATCGATCTGTGACCGGTTAGACAATCGCTTGTGGCCCAAGAAACCGGGAGACCGGTACAAAGCCAAGAATTTTGACCATAGAGCCATAAAGGAAGAGCCACTAGAGGAACGATAATAATATAATTTAAAAAGGAGCCGGCAACGTAACGGACAAGAACAGGGTCTGCCTCTTTCCATCCAGAATTATATATATTATTATGCCCTATGCAACGCACACCATAAATGCTCAACACTAAGTACCAAAATAGATTCTTTTTTATACCAAAAAAAAAATGTTTATTTCAAAACTCATTTAAGAATTTACAAATTCGGAGAAGGTTTCTAAAAAATGTTTATTTTCCCTCACTTGGATTGAAAAAATATATCTTTAATACAACTTTCTTGGATATATTCTAAAATAGCCCTTCGAACAGCTACGCTCGGCGTCTCGAAGTTCTCTGATAGGCTGTTGAGACAATCCAATTAAATTTCCTCTCTCTCTCTCTCTCTCTCTCTATATATATATATATATATATATATATTTATGTATGTGCATAAATTAGGTCCCATTGTCTCCAGAAGTCCACAACTCTCTTGTCAGTTTTTTGTCGGAGTAACCATCAATGGCTCCTGAAAACTGCAGTTTCTCAAGAACCAAAGAAGAAGAAGAAGAAGAAGAAGAAAACGTGGCTGTGATCTTCGGAGTCACGGGACTGGTGGGTCGAGAGATAGCCAAGAGGCTATCCTCTAAACCCAGATGGAAAATCTTCGGCATTGCCCGGAATCCGGAGATTAAGCCGACCAACAACGGCAAAATCTACACTTTCATATCCTGTGATCTGTTAAACCCGTCCGAAACCAGGCAGAAGCTGTCGCCATTGCAGGAGATCGTGACTCACGCCTTCTGGGTCACATGGTCTGGTGAGTTCCCTCTGGACACCGACGAATGCTGCGAACAGAACAGTAGAATGATGGCCAACGCATTGGGCGCCATTCTTCCCAACGCCAGAAGGCTGAAGCATTTCTCCCTTCAGACAGGGATGAAACACTACGTCTCCTTGAGAGACCCTCTGTTTCAGACGCTGTGTTATTACAGTGAAGAATGTCCGAGAGCGAGATCTGGCCGTAACTTCTACTACGCCCTGGAGGATTTGCTTCACGAGAAGCTCTCCGGTAATAATACCCTTTGGTCGGTTCATCGGCCCGGATTACTCCTCGGTAGCTCAACGAGAACTCTGTATAATTTCATGGGAACTTTGTGTGTGTATGGAGCTATATGCAAGTATCTGAACCTGCCATTTGTCTTTGGAGGGACGAGAGAATGCTGGGAAGAAAGTTACATAGACGGGTCGGATTCCCGGTTGGTGGCAGAGCAGCATATATATGCAGCGACAAGTGGTAAAGTAAGTGAAAAAGGTGAAGCCTTTAACGCGGTAAACGGGTTTAGGTTTTCGTGGAAGGAGCTTTGGCCACAGATCGGGAAGAAACTTGGAGTGCAAGTCACCGAAACCGAGATGTTCAACGAGGGTTTTTGGTACGAGAGAGAGATGGCCGAGAAAAACCGCGTATGGGATGAGATCGTGGAAAAGGAAAGGCTTGCACGGACAGAGGTCGGAGATTTGGCAAACTGGAGATTCATGGATATGCTGTTCAGATGCCCTTTCAAGCTTCTGGGGACAAGAGACAAAGCTGATAGATTAGGGTTTAAGAGGAGGTTTAGGACACTGGATTCGATTCTGCATTGGATCGATGTGATGAGAGACGAGAAGCTTATTCCTCATACCAGAGATCGACCCCCTTTTGTTTGATGGCAATAGTCTCTTTTTAAATCTGCTTAAAGGGTGTTTTGTTTTGTAACCAAATATTTTGTATTTCGTAATTAACCAATCAAATTCCAAAATTTATGATTAGTGGCAAAGCACACATTTTCTCCCTATGGCATAAGTTTAGTCGGACTCAATGTTATGGATTTTTTTAATTATTATATTTGTTGGTTTCAATTTGATTATTGGTAACGCATTTGTATTATTTTTTTCCAGCTTGCTTTCGAAGAAGAAGAGTCGGACAAGACAGATTGGGTTTGGCTGTTAAGATAACGTATTCTTCCCTATTTATGCCCATCATCGCAAAACTCAAGTGGTGGAGAAAAATATTTTAAAAAACTACAAATATGCAGTTAAAAAGGTGAAAATGAGTTAGTTTTTTAACTTATCTTTGTAAATTTTAATTCAAGTTTGGATGGTCTACCAGCAAAACATATTCTTATTCTACATTTAAATCTAAACGGGGATGGAGATGATTTTTCTGTATCTTTTATAATATATAATTAGATCAAAAGTTTGATAAATTTAGGGATTATTAAAAAATATCTGTAGGTTTAAAATATATAGTATTATATTCAAATATAAATTTATCATTTTGAAGTAAATATTTTTTTATTCAAAAATGATATTCGACACGTGCGAGTTGTCAAATAGGGGCTCTAGACTTTGAAATCTCAAATGGGCTCTAAATTTACATGCAAAAGCCCAACGGGCTCGTGAACGTCAATAGCCTCTGGCCCAATCGGATGGTTTCGACGATTCACGAAACTCACTGTTGAGCTGGCGGTTATAGATCGTACAGAACATTTTTTAAAATCTGCCAACGGTACATTTGAATTCACAAACAAATGCTTTCGAAATTTCGTTATCACAATAAAAAAATCAAATTATTATTTGTTTCGATTAATTTTTCTGGATGATATAAGCTTTTATCATGTTTAAATTCTTCGTTTGGACTGTTTTTATTTTTATTTTTTAATTTCAATAAAAAATGAAGAGAGGTAGACGATTAGGGAACTAACATAATCCACAAAATTTCAGAGCCGTTTTCAACGATTCAAATTCCATTCGTATTTTTGTGGCGTTCAATTTCTACATGAATGCAATCACCTCCCTCCCCGACAAAACACGATGTCGTTTTCGCCTTCCTCACCAGGACCATCCATGGCGTCCTCCTCTCTTATACTTCACTTTCCACGGATTCACATCTCGTGGAGTCTCTGTTGCCGACGACTATAGCGATGCTATCCCTGCGCGTTCCCGCTCCCACGAATGCCTTCGATCTTCGGCCATTCCTCGCGGGATCCGTCCCGCGGCGGCGGAGGAGGGAGTTCTCGCTCTCGCCGGCGTTGGTGGTGAAGCGGTGCGAAATCAGAGCGGCGAAGACGGATGTGGCGGTTGCATCGGCTGAGGAGCAGCTCCCGGATGGGCTGCAGTCGGAGCTCATGCCGAAGCACGTGGCGGTGATCATGGACGGGAACGGGAGGTGGGCGAAGAATCGCGGTCTTCCGGCGTCAGCGGGTCACCAAGCCGGCGTGAACGCGCTCAGAGAGCTCGTCGAGATCTGCGGTCGATGGGGAATTCAGGTCCTCACCGTTTTCGCCTTCTCTACCGATAATTGGATTCGACCTAAGGTGAGAACGAGCTTGTTCAAAATTCTCCCTGCTTAATAATATCGCCGAGTTCTCGATAATCATTTTGATACACCAAAGCAAGAATTTCAAATTCTGGATGTTCATAGTTCAATGATTCAGAAAAATAAAGTAATCAGATGCTCCGGGGATCATTTACTGTTAGATTGTGGTCCTACAACTCTTATTTTTTGGAAGTAGAACATTTGATTCAAATGTTCATGTTAGTGTGGTTTGATTCGGTTCCTCTGCAGATCGAGGTCAATTTCTTGTTAAGCTTATTCGAAAGATCGCTGAAATCGGAGTTGAAGACCTTAGCGGAGTAAGTATCTCCTCTCCTTTTCGTCGAATCCAAATCCAGTTTCAGACACGACCCAAGACATGTTTCATCCTTAAACCCTCCTGTCCTGTTCCAAAATGCAGGAACAATATCCGGATATCGATAATAGGGGACACTTCCAAGCTTCCAAAGTCACTTCTACAGGTGATAAACGAAGTAGAAGAATCCACTAAAGACAACACCAGGCTGCAACTCATAGTGGCGGTGGGCTACAGCGGGAAATACGATGTTCTTCAGGCGTGCAGAAGCATCGCCCAGAGAGTGAAGGACGGTGAGATTGAAGTGGACGACATCGACGAGAGCTTGATAGAGCAGGAACTGGAGACAAACTGTACGGAGTTTCCGTACCCGGATCTTCTGATACGAACGAGTGGAGAGCTAAGAGTGAGTAACTTCCTGCTGTGGCAACTGGCTTACACCGAGCTCTTCTTTGCTCAAGATCTATGGCCTGATTTCGGCAAGAGTGGTTTCATCGAGGCCTTGAAGTCTTTTCAACAGAGGCAGAGACGATTCGGCGAGAGGAAATCTTGAGGTTAGGTTCTCTTCTGTCCAATGATCATGTTCGAATATATATATATACATACACTTTGGTTCTCTTGGGATATACGCAACATGTGGGAATACATTTTGTATATGTATAGTGTATAGATATGGAAATCAATTATATGTTTTTATGCTCATATACTTTGCTAAAATGAAAGAACACAAGTTTGGCATCACATTATTCTGAATCAAGCCTAGAAACAAAAGGGCTAATTATTAAACACACACACACACATATATATATATATATATGTATATGTCAAGCCCTTTGTCCGAAACGTCTATCCCTCTGCTGATACGAAATCAAGGCCTCGACAAAATCGTCCTCCCCGAAATCAGGCCAAAGGACGGGCGAGAAGAAGAACTCAGTGTAAGCAGATTGCCACAAGTAGAAGTTGCTGATTCTCTGTTCGCCGCTTGTTCTGATCAACAAATCGGGGTTAGGGAACTCCGTACACTTTGTTAGGAGCTCCTTCTCGATCATATCTTCGTCAACATCTTCCATTTGGATCGAACCACCTTTCGCCTTGCGGACGATTCTCTTGCAGGCCTGCGAGATATCGTACCTTCCGCTGTAGTCTATGGCTATGATAATATGTTTTGTGCTGTAGATTCTCGTGGATTCCTCGATCCCACGTATCGTCCGGAGGAGAGATTCCGGGATCTTCGTAACGTCCCCGATGACGGAGATTCTGATTCTCTCCCTGCATTAGAGAAACAAAACAAAACTTGGTAATGTTTTAAACTGCATCATATCGCAATGTCTGTCTCGTCATAGGTTAAACAAGTTTCTTTACTTATACCTCTGAAAAAACGGAATCTTCAACTTCAGATACTTTTCGAACAAGAACATCAAGCAGTTAACCTCACCCTGGATGACAAACCAGACAAGAACTGCACTAAGTCCATGGTGTGATACTATGAAGTATGCGCACATCAAGTACGATGAAAATGTATACGAAAAGGAAAAGGAATAGGCGTAGTTTTACTGACATGGGGTCGGCCCCAATTCTCGGTGGAGAAGGCGAAAGCCGAGAGAGTGTGGATCCCCCGTTTGAAGCAGAGCTGAGCGAGCTCGACCAACCCTCTGGCTCCTGCCTCGTGGCCTTGCCCCGTCGCCAATCCCCGTTGCACCGCCCACCTTCTGTTCCCATCCATTATCACCGCCACGTGCCTTGGCATCAGCTCTGGCCTCAGCAGCCCCATTCGAATCTCCCCGTCCTTTTCACTGTCATCGCTACAAAGACATGAACACTTCCCCGCTGTAAAATAAAAACTGAGAAAATGTGGCTAAGTAAACTGAAAATGCTGGTGTTCGTCGTCCTTGTGATTAAAAAGTGTGACTCATAAGTCAACCTTTCACGTCCGATTGTCAAACGTGAGAGCTTCATGACATGAAACATCCAGATTTTTTGTGAATTCTCAAGTGGTGATGTTCTCTGATTGTAAATTGTAATTTATTGTAGTTTAGATTTGCAGAGAGAAGGAGACGATATCGATTATAATTACATTGTTGATGGTTTGGCCGTGCATTCTCAAACACTATTTACTGTATGGATTCCCCTAATAAATCATACAGATTCATTAAGAGACGTGAGGGTCTTATAACATGGAATAATATCCTGATGAGAGGATAATGTTCTTACAAACCATTTTTGAATGGCGGGTTTTGGGTTTCAGGCTAAGAAATCCAAGGTGAATTTGATGGAATTTTCCCACAAGGTTTATTTCGATATTGAGAGCTGGTACGATCTATTTTTGCTTCTGGGTTTGTCGTGTTTGGAACCGGAGAAAGGGAACAGTGTCCAGAGAGTAGGAACCAGAAGAAGAAAGAGAACGGACAGTGTAATACAGAACAGAGACAACATAATGACTTTGTTGTGGCTTCTTGTCTTTGTGTAGCTATATATATACACATTCATATATACATACATACGTATATATATAAGCAACTCTCTTTTTAACTAGAGCTGGGCGTTTCGGTTCGGTTCTTGGGAACCGAACCGAATCGAACCGTTAAAACGGTATTTTTTCCGATCTGAAACCGTTTTTATTTTCCGAACGGTACTATTTTTAGAGAACCGAATTTTTCTGGAACCGAACTGAACTTTAAAAATCCCGAAAACCGAATATTTTTAAAGGAAATCTATCATTTTTTAATAAAACCTAGAACTGAACCGAGATACCGAAACTGAACCGAACCGAATACAATAAAAAGCCCGATTGGTACCTATTTTTGTAAATCCGAAAGAACCGAACTGATCTATTTCGTCCCGAATCCGAACCGTTTCCCGAAACGTCCACCCCTATTTTTAACAGATGGAAACAGGAGAACTGAAAAAATAAAATTTAATGTTTACCACTACCATTACCAGAGTTGATGATACTTCATTAATGAAGTAATTATTATTTGTACTTGTAAGATGTTCTCTACCAGTCAAGGGCAATCGAACTAAGAGTGGTTTTGTTATTATATTATTGTATGTAACCAAGAATCAAATGCAAACTTGCTCTCCCTTTTTTTTTTGAAAGTTTGGTATGATTGGGGTGATATCTTGCATTGAAATTGATAGCTACGTGAATTTATATGATAATGTAATTATGGGTAGGTTAGGGCGAACCGTACTTAAACGAAAAAACGTTATTTTTTTCAATTTGAACCGTTCAAAAATTTTGAACGATATTAATTTTATAAAAATTGAATTTTTTATAACCGAATTGAATTTTAATTAAAAATCGCGAAACTGAATTGATTTGAATCGAATATAATATAATAACCGATAGTACAAATATTTTTGTAAAACCAAAAAAATCGAACCGAACCATTTACGATCTGAATCCAAACCGAATACCGAAATATCCACTTCTAATTATGGGTCCTATTTTAAATATGAATATCATGTGACATTTAGGTGTCGTCTTGTTATAATTTACGACTTATTCCAAACCCTAACTAACGAAAATGTAGTACAGAGTATAATTTGAGTAGTGAAAAATACTATTTTTAATAAAATATTACTTGTGAATTAATATATACAATACAGTCACCAAGCAGGTTGCGGGTATTTACATTATTTACGCATTAAATTAATGTACGTACGATATTATTAATGAATTGCGAGTGGTTGAAATATAATAAAAAAAATGAATCTAGAATCTTACAACTATTGAGCGCAGATATTATATTTCATAAATTAAATATTACATTTTAATCGTTTATATTCGAATATAGTTTCTTTTCTCTAATCTAAAAATATTGTTATAGTTTGTAGAGAAAAAAAGTTGTAAAAAGCTATACATTTGTATAATCTAAAAATATATATACCAAAATCATACTTAAACATTCACCAATATATCAAGCTTGAAGATAATGTATCAATTCAAAGAAGTTTTGGCATTAGAGTCTAAAATATTGAAGGGTTTGCTTGTCAACATATATAAACACAACATCTGTATTAAATATGAAATAACCACACTATCAAATGTTTTCTATCAATTATTTATTTAATGTTAGCATATTATTAATCTTCGTTAGTTTGGACCAAATCCGTCTAGCTAGTTGTTGTCCCAAAATCTTTAATCTTTCAATTATATATATATATATATATATATATATTCCTGAAAGGAAATAAATGAATATATACTGTAGTAACTACATAAAAAATCATGAATAAACGCATTAAAAAACTCTATACTTTATCATGTCAACGGAAACAAGTAAAGAAAAAAAAAATCCAACATGCTTATAGAAACATCCAACCAAGTGGGTTCTTAGTTGCGCCATATTGTCATGTTTCATTGTCGTTCCCTTGTCTCCTATCTAGATTTTTTTTTTAATAAACAGGAGATTCACACTTTCATCCATTTAATCTTCTGAATTCGAATTCAACTTTTTAGTGATACAATTAATTACGTGTTCTCTTCTTAAAATCGAATCTCATGATCTTGAAGATGACTTTGTAATACCAACTAGATTATATCTAGATATTTTTTGCAACACCCACATTTTTTTATGAAAAAAATTATAATTTAAAGTTATATGCTCTATCAATATCAATAGATATGTATATAAATGTATATGTTTCCGAGCTTCTGTGATTCTAAACGGGAAAAGGCTACGTATTTTATTATTTTCATTTAAAACAGTTTTCTATATTATTGTTGTGTATATATATATTAACATAATTCATTTATTATTTATAAAAGCAAAAAATAATTCCTTTATTTATTGGGATCTAACCAACCATATATTCATGAATTATTAACTATAATCTACATAATTATACTAATGCCTTTTCATATACTGGAACATATATATATATATATATATATATAACGGACGCGCGAATTTCGTGATATAATATCTTTAATCGTACGGTCTATTATGAGCTCCTTTATGTCATGGACGTGGACCGCTCGTGAAAATGCAACAGGATAAGGTTTTATCATTTAAGGATATAATTTCGGGCCATTATATCTCCCATATATATATATATATATATATATATATGCACTCATAGAATACAGAAAGTACGCGTGAATATAAAACTCAAACTACCATATTCTTTTTATTTAACCATATTAACAATAACGTTTTTTTGGTGGCCATGAATGATAACGTTGACCAAAGAGTAATATCATATATTTTACCAAAAAAAAAAGAGTAATATCATATATATATATATATATATGTATATCACATATACATAGGTGCTGTGTATATAACAACTTGAATGTAGGGATTTGTGATTTGATATCTAATGGAATAAATTGGGGGTTAGTGACGTAATTTCTGACGCAGTTCGTGGGGGTTGGGTTTTAGAGTCATACGGCGGCGCCATCGGTAATAGTGATCTCCTGCATCATACCTCACCAAAAGCTTTTACACCATCCATTACTGTTATGCCACGTCTACGAGTCGAGATTTTTCTTCCTCTACCCTTATCCATAATTCCCAACTGCATCAGAAAATTTAATTCAGTTTGGAAGAACATCTGAATCGTAACAAAACATTACATCAATTTTCAAATTGAATTTTCATAATTTTTATGGGTATATAATTAGGATTTAGTCTGAATATATATATATATATATATATCTCACACAGATAAGTTGCAACCTATCAGGAAATTTTGACAATAATTGTGGTTAATTGTGGTTATTGACTCCTTTCACTTTACACAGATCTTCTTCCAAAGATGAAAGATGGATGATTAGATTAGTGGATGATTATCTTTAGCTGATCCTCCACGTGGCAGCACATAATTGGAAATTATAATAACAATAGAGGTGTGCTTAAAACAGGGGATCAAACCCCCGTTCGGTGCAGTAGTTTAATCCTTCGGTATTGCCGATCAAGGGCAAAACTGTCATTCAAACAACCACTTCGCCTCTTTTCTTGAAAAAGCAGACTTTGAGAAACCCAAACTGGGATCATCGGATTGGGTGAAACATCCAAATAGCTAAAGGAGAAGCCATCACCAAACCCTTTTTTTTTTTCATCATCTTCTTCGTATTTTGAATCTTTGTTCGATACTTGTGAATCATCGCTTGCTGGAGTTTCTGTTTGTTTGATGGGAATTAGTTTCTGGGGAATTTCCCTGCCATGGCCAAATTGTCGTTCAAGGATTCTCTGAAAGCTCTGGAAGCCGATATCCAACACGCTAATACACTGTAAGCCCCTCCTCTTCTTTCTCTCTCTAAAAAAAATAAAAAAATCTTCACTTTCGGTTTGGGTTTTGTCCAAGTATTGGTTTTTTTCCTTGACCCAGATGAAAGGTTTTGCTTTTACTTCTTCAGTTATGGCTGACATATCCTATATTTTTGTTTCACTGTGAAATCCGTGAAGATTCCCTTACTGAGCTTTCAGGTTCTGCTATTTGATTTTTGTAGGACCACCATTGTTGCTTTGAAATTAGATTTTCTTTTTACATGTTCATAAACAAAGATGAGAAATTGCAGGGTCCTTTTTTTGGGTATCTTACTTAATCACCGGGTTAGGGTTTAATTTGGACTCGAATGGTCTTTGAAGAAAACTGACAGTTTGTGTGGCCTCTGAGGTTTCCTTAGCTGCCTGAATTTGAATGGGAGACTACTTTTTGTACATCAATGTTTAAATGAGTGATGTGTTGTTCTGCTTCTTATGTGAGACCTGCAATAGATTGTTGCTTTAACTGAAGTAGACAACTTCTGATCAATGTCTGGACAGAGATTGTGTACTCAACCAGTGGTTTTTGTCTGTTAATGTAGAAGCCGCAACAGTTTGTGGCTTTCTGATATTGCTTTAGCTGAAGTAGAACTTACCAATCTAGGCGTGTGAAATTGATCATTGTCTGAACAGAGATTGTGTAAGTGCTTGCAATCATCAAATCCTGTTGTAATGCCGCTGATGATGAGAAGGGTGTTGCATTTTTTTTCTCTTTTTGATTTAACAGTGCTTTAGATTATCCGCGGGATAAGGATGGAGCTCGTGTTCAGATGAGACTGTCTTATAGCCCGGCTGCCCAGTTCTTCCTTTTTCTTGTTCAGTGGACTGACTGTCACCTTGCTGGTGCCCTCGGTCTTCTCAGAGTTCTTATTTATATGGTAATGTTTCTTGATTCATTCATTCCTATATCTTCCTCTCTTTTGTTTCACTTTTTGTGTGTGATTGTTTGATTAATCCTGTGGATTTGTTCAGACCTATGCGGATGGGAAGACCACAATGGCAGTTTACGAAAGAAAAGCCAGTATTAGAGAGTTCTATGGTAATGGTTGGAGCTTATTTTGCTGGGGGGAAAGTGTATTATTAGCGAGTTCGATGTTGTTTATGCTTACGGGGCTGATTGTTCTGTGAACAGCTGTGATATTTCCGTCGCTGTTACAACTACAAAAGGGCATTACGGATCTGGAAGACCGCAAGCAGAAAGAGGTTTGCAATATGAGGTACAGAAGGAAGGATGAGGGAGAAAGGGGTAAGCTCTCGGATATCGACATTGAAAGAGAAGAGGAATGTGGGATTTGCATGGAGATGAACAGCATGGTCGTGCTTCCCAACTGCACTCATTCTTTGTGCATCAAGTGTTACCGGGACTGGTAAGTTATCACAGTATCCATTCAAAGCATCTACACTTCAGGGTCATGTAAAGTGGAGACCTTTAGTTTGTGGGTGTGATCTCGATGAGAACCACCAAGTTTTATTCTTTGATATTGTTTCTTAATGGTCTGATAGATTTGATATTGAGTCCCAAGTTCTAATCTTTTTGACCCCTATGTCCGTAATCGGCTGCTTGGTAGAACGGTTTTCAGCTAGAAATCCACTGAGTTTGAGTGTTCTTAGCTGCCTGCTCCATAACTTTGTGTAACCTATGATCCAATCCTTTTTGCCATTGAAGGCTGCTCTTATGTGGGTTTGAGGTTCTATCCAGTAGACGACTAAAGATTGGATATTCCATTTGAAATTGTGTAAAGATTGAGCATTTCATTCTTTGGCAGGCGAGGGCGGTCTCAGTCGTGTCCCTTCTGCCGGGACAGTTTGAAAAGGGTAGATTCGGGTGAGCTCTGGATCTTCGTCGAGAAAACCGACGCAGCTAATCTCTCTGCCATCACGAGAGAGAATCAGAAACGGCTGTTCATGTTCATCGAGAAGCTTCCACTGGTGGTTCCAGATCACGTGTTTGCGTCTTCTCCCTACGATTGCCATGTCAGGTGAAGAAGAAGAAGAAGATGGAGGAAGCTTTTCTTATAAAAAGCCGAAACCGGATCTGGTAACTGTCTCTGTATATGCGTCTGAAATTGGAAAGGAAGGGACACTGTGTATGTATGTATGTATTAGAGTAAAAGCCTTCTTCCGTTTCTGGGAAAGTTCTGTTCTACGTGCTTTTTTGGTGCATTTGGCGATGCTTTCCCGTTCCCGTTGAAACCTCTCCATGTAAATCTGTTAATCTAAACCTCTTCCCACAGAAGAAGGTTTCACTCTCAAATTCAGTCAACGGAGATGCTGCTCCTTCTGTTTCAATCAGAGAGTTCAATGAAAAAAGGTTTGTCTATGGAATCTGCAGTAGGGTCCTCGTCCGTATTCATTGACAATTTCTGTTTGCAAGGGTCCTTTCGTCCCCTTCTTACGCCCAAAAACCCAAGGAAACGGTGAGACAAGAGTTGGTGGAGAGTGAGACGGATCATGAATGGTCCTGAAGGCGAGCTCATATCAACGGAAGGGAGGAAAAGAGGGATTCTTTAGAGCAGCAAAACCCAGAAGATATGGTGCTGATGATGATAAAATTATTAACTATCAATTTTAATAGAAACAATTATCATCTGTAAATTATCAACTATCAATTTTAATAAAAACAATTATCATCTATCTAAATTACTCAAAAAATAATATTTTATATTTTTTATAAAAATCTATCAAATTTAAATAAAAATATATTTTATTATTATAAATATTATATTTAAAATTTTATCATATATTAATATTTTAGAAGTTGTAAATTATGTATATTTTATTGGTTATAAATATAAGAGATAATATATATATATATATATATATATTCTAAAATAAAATAAAAATATAGTAATTTTTATATGTAATATTGTAAATTAAGTATATTTTATTTGATATAAATTTTTATATTTAGAATGAAATATTTTTTATAAATTTAAATCGTTGATGATTTTTTTATTGAAATTATTATAGAAATCTATGAAAAAAATTAATTGTTATAAAAAAAATCAAATTAATAGTTTGCAACTATTGAAATACTAAAATATTATAATATGATAAATTTAAATAAATATTATTTTTTATTGTGATTTTTAGGATTATATTATTTTATATGTTTTCTATCCAAATTTAATAGATGTTATAATAAATGTAAAACATTATATGTTTTGAATAATTTAGATAGATAATACTTTTTTTATTAAAATTAATCATTGATAGTTTTTTTATAATAAATTTAAAGAGAAAATTTAGTTTTAAATAATATATATAGTTGATGGTTTTTTTTTAAATTAATAGTTGACAGTTTTTATAACTAATTTAAGTAGAAGATTTTTTTGGTGTAAAGGTAATAGTTGAAGATTTTTTTTAGGTTTGTCCTATTTTTTATTATTTATTTATATTTATTTTTTAATTTGTAGTGATGACAAGTTTGGTAAAACTATGTTAAAAATTTGACTGTAATTTTGATCTATCGAGAATTTGAAAAAAATAAATAAAAGTTAAAAAATTTGGTGAATTTGGAACCGAACTTTTGAATATGACACATTATAATTTTTGGATTTTCCCTTTATATTGTATTAACAAAGGCTGGAAATCATCGTTAAACCCTAAACCCCTCCCGCTTCTTCTTCTTCCTCTTCTCAGCTCTCTCTCTCTCTCTCTCTCTCTCTCTCTCTCTCTCTCAGAATCTTTGGGGAAATTGGAATTGATGGCATGAGATTTTCTGGCTTTCAAAGCGGTGTCTTTCTGTGTATCTCACCTTCTAGTAGGGTTGCTCTATGCTTCGTTGCTCTCGGAAGCTATTCCGGTTAGTCGTCTGGAACTTTGCGCTCTTCGTTACTTTATCTTCACAGTTTCTTGTGAGTTCTTTTATGGTTAATTTTCCGCAGATTAGAATAAGCAAATGGGGGAGAGATTGCGAAAGACTGTTTGGGGTTGAAATCCATGGCGAAATCAATTATGTATCATCTCTGACCATTGAATTTCATTGCGGAATTGGGTTTGAATTTTTGGGCAAAATTTTGAAACTTTCTGGTGTCAGCTGTTAATCTGAGGATTCTGTTTTATTTTTTGTGAACCATTTCCAAAGATACTGTCATCATCGAGGTGACAGTACGGAATTCACCTCTGGGAATGTTCGAACCCAAGTGAGTAAACTTATGGGGATCTCTGGCATTGATCCAAATAGTTGATGACTCTAGATTCTGAATTGTTGTCACATGTACTTGCAATTCTAGTCTTCATTTTTGGGGTACTTAGGAGAAATTTGCTGTTCTTTGCAGTGGAGATGTCGCATATTACGCATTTCACAAGTTTGGAGATAATGGGTGCTTGATGAAATTCGTTGTCTGTGATTTTACCCATCCGACAAGTTCCTTCTATCACACCCTTTGTCTTCGCGAAGAAGACAGAGAAGGTTGTGAAGTTGTCGGAAGAGTCCCTGAGCAAATCAGTAGAAGCTCTTCTGGATCGCACCTTAAATACGAATCTCGGAAACCATCTGTTTGTGAGTCGAGTTGTCTGCAGCATTGGTTCAAGAACTGGCAAGAAAAGAGGAAGCACAAGCTAACAGCCAGTACTTTTGCTCAGGCGATCGGTTTCTTTCCTCGCCGTAGAGTCCAGCTGTGGCTGGAGAAAATCGGGGCAATCAAGCCATTCTCCGGCAACATGGCCACCGCTTGGAGCAACGTTAAGGAGCCAACGGCTCTGGAGAAATATAAGCTGATAACTGGATGCAGTGTTACCCATCCCGGGTTTCAAATGTATGGCGAGAAAAACCCGGAATACGATTGGATCGGAGCCTCCCCTGATGGAGCCATTGATGGTAATGTATATGGGTTATCTTCTGGAGGCGTTCTAGAGATAAAATGCCCCTACTTTGACGGAGAGAGACAACCAGTTCCATGGAAGAGGGTTCCGTTGTATTATTTTCCACAAGCTCAAGGCCTGATGGAGATAATGGACAGAGACTGGATGAATTTGTACTGTTGGACTACCAGGGGTAGCAGTTTATTCAGAATCGACCGAGATCCTGAATACTGGTATGCCGTGAAAGTAGCAGTTTCCGATTTCTGGTGGAAAAATGTCCAACCAGCAAGAGACATATACACTAATTCCGTAATCACTGAGCCACTCGCGGAGTTAAGAGAGTTCAGGCCAGCACCAAGGCATGAACTATGTCCCTATATTGTGAATGAGAGTCGGATAATCAGAGAAAACTCAAAGTTACTGATGCGTGAAATTGACGATAAAATGGTAGGCTGAATTGCTGCTGACGTGTTCTCGGACACGGTCCTGGATTTAGATCTCTAGAAGATGCTTAGCAACATTTGCATATGGACAAGGTAGTAAGAAAGGTATGATGTTGAGATGTCTGTTCCACTTTATTTAAGCTTTCCATAACTCTTAGCAGAAGCTTAGAACTGGAATAAGCTTATGGTGCTCTCATTCGGAACAGAAGCCATGATCATAACTCGGAAACATAACGTTTTTAGTGTGAAATATGATGCTTAACTTGGAAAAGGTTTGAAATTGATTGCCTGTGACAATGGAGTTTTCCTCATGTCAATATGTTTCATATCCATCCATCTTTTCAGCTTTAGATGAATTCTGTTCCGGGATAAAACCTTGAGGGGCGACACTGGACTTGGCTCGGCGAATTTTGCAAGAGGGTCAGATGAGAAAAGGCCAGTGGCAGGCACAACCTTGAGGTAAATGCTATTGTAGCCTCTAACATGAACCATGGATCGAGATTTCATATCTAGTATGAACACGATGAGGTAATTTTGGAGATCTGCTGAAATCCCGAATTTTGGCAGCTTGAGACGGCCGGTTCTACGCCAATAACACGACCTCGTGAGATTTTTGGTGTAATTTTCTTCAGAGATCAGAGTTTTGCTCTGTCTGCCTGTTTTCCCGTGAGACATTTTGCTTCAGAATCCTATCCATTAGCCATTAGCTCATTTAAACACTTAACCTTATTTTAAACAATTTATATACTGCGGCTTCTTTACTTACATTTGCCCATTTAAAAAAAAAAGACATTCACCAGTTGTTGTCTCTTATGCTTTTTTTTTTTTTTTTTTTTTTTTTGGAGTTTGGCAGAAACCAGAAGGATGCCATGGATGACCCATGAGTCACTGAACCATACGGTGGAGCCGGGGCCTTCACCCGATCCATTTCGAAAACGTGTAACCCAACACAGGGGGTACACAAATATCTCCATTAATCTATTTTAATGATGGTTACTTCTCGTGCCATTTGTACAGTCTGTATCTTGTTTTCATAGTTTTATTTATTGTAGGTTAAAATTTAATTTATTAAGCTAATAATGTAAAGTAAGGGAATTGGTTTAGTAAGATATGAAAAAGAAGAAAAACCCAGAAAACTCCAACAATGTAAACTGTAAAAATGCGAGAGAAGTGAAAGGAGAAACAAAAAAATATCTCAGTAAATTATGATGAATAATATTATCTGTAATGTAACAATGATTTTAAAGTATAAAATATGATGTTTATATAAATAATTAAATATAACAATAAATTATACTGAATCATATTATCGACAAAATCTTTGTGTTTTTTCATTAATATTTGCACAACGGTTAGTGAATATTGTATTATAGACATAATAATTCATGTGAGAGAAAAAAACATTATAATTCCATTTTTGTCCTCCTGAGAAATTAAGTGTGTTACGGTTATTGGGTCATAAAGTCCATTTGATTTTAGATGCGAAACGTATTATAAGGCCTCTTAAGAAATAAAAGGCCACACCAAATCCTTTGCATGTCCACTCTCAAGCCCCGCGCGTTAGTTACACGCGTTCATTTTGGTCTGTTTTCGAAAAATGGGCGCGTGGGAACGGTCTTTGTCTCCTTACGTCTTCGTTTTTTCCCCTTTGTTCTCTTCTCTCTTTTTTTTTTTTGATGGTTCTTAGTTATTTTTCTATAATAAATTATATTCCAAATGCAATTATTTTTGTATCCAAGAAGAAACCCAGAGGTTAATGGAGTCCATGGCTCTGAATTATTCTCCTCTTCATTGTTATGTTCTTTAATCTAAACTTCACTTACTTCTCATCATGTTCTTTAAATTCAGTATGTATATATATATATATATATATATATATATATATATATATGAATTCAAAATACTATATTCCCACAACTAACACTGAATAGAAACATGATAAACAAGGAGCAAATAGAGACTTGTATGTTCTTCTATCCATTACTAGACCCTAACACACATCGCATAGTAGCTAGCATCCCCGCATATATATATATATATGTCGGATTGTAGTCATCAAGCTTTGAGGTTGTGAGTTGAAAAGTGGGGAAGAGGGAGAGGACGGAAGCCATGGCTAAGAGATGCATCCCAGATGGCGTCCAAATCATGGAGAAGAGACGAGCCACACTCGTGCCTTTCCCATCCTTCTAAGGCGTGCACTATCCCTGCTGCCCTTGCCGCGCTTATCGCCTTCCTCGGTAACCAGTTCTGCAATTACATATATATACACATATATGCATGAGAATCCTATATATACACTCACTTTTTTTCATTAATTTTATCGATCTCTAACCTCGCAAGAGTGGATGTTCTCCAAAGATTTGGGAACTGTCAAAGCGGGTGTGGTGTGATAGAGGCAATCTTTGCGCAACTCCTTGGGAGGGAACTGCGAGAAAGGGATGAATATTGACCCTTGTGTGGCCTTTCCCTGTTCCTTTTCATCTATCCCTTCTCCTACCAACCATATCTGCACCCACATTTCCTTAATTAGCTTGTTAATGCGAACCCTTTCCAATAATTTTGCTGTTTTTCTTTTCGAAACTCTATCCATGGGTTTATACCTTGTGCGAAGGCAGAGTTTTAGAGGTTGAATAGAGCAGGCGGTCCCTCCACTCGTGCGGGATGCAACCCATGAGTTTATCGTACTCGTCTTTACGAAGGGTTGTGACCTGAATGCGTCATTTACAAGAAGAAGTGAATGATGGTGAATTGGTGTGTGTGTGTGTGTGTATGTATATATATATATATATATATATATACCCTTTGCAAGCTAAGTAATGAAATAAGATGGATGGAGGGTATAAGTAAAAAAGGAAAAGACCTTGATTCCCTTTTGGCAGAGAGCAGAGGCAATGGCATAGGCGACTTTTGTGAGAGATCCTCTCATTACAACATCGACTGTCCCTTTGGGGACACTGTTGATTACCACAGCAGCGGCCAAGCTGCTTCCATCCACCACTCTCATTCTTACCTTTGGGTGCTTCTCTATGTATTCCTCTCCGTTCCTGTTCAGCTCCTCCCCCTGTTAATTCATTCAAACGTCATGGTAATTCACTCTTT